CTAAAGGGAGCTAAGAACTGATCAAAACCAAGTTTCCTCTGTGAAAGAAACAACAGCACAGTCTTAGTCTGACCCCTTTGAAATCTGGGGCCAAACTTATGTTGGTTCAGTCAACACAGTTACATCCTGTGTGCCATCTGCTGCCAGCATAAAAAACAAGAAAACAAATTAAGGGCCTGTGTTGAGCAGGTTCATCCTCCTGGGGCTAGAGGTGCCCCTGGAGTTCGAAGTCCCTGAGTTGTGATAGCTCAAGAGTTAATACAGGACCAGCCTGTTGCACAGGTTACACCAAGGCCTACTTTATATCTACATGTGACAGGGAAAATGCAGAGAGGAGAACCAGGAGACACAATGAAGCATGGGAGAGAAGGTCAGTTTCATCCCATCCTTGTTCCTGCCATAAATTGCATGACAAGACTCATATAGAGGAAGGAGCATATTAACCCGAGAGGGCACACTCCACCTTCTCTTTCTGCGCATAAACCCACCTTTAATGTGAGAGGAAGAAGAGTCAGGGAGACACAGAAGAGAAGTGATTTAGAGAGAGGAAGAGGGAATGTTCACTAGAGAGAGAGGTAATATTGGTAAAAAGCCTCAGCCCTAACACTGAAAATTGTATTAGGTTCAGAAATTATTTCAACTTCCTTTGGAGGTTATTTAATATAATTCCAAATAAGCACGTATATGATATTTGCCTGATGTCAGCATATCCCCCTCATCCTCCTCCTCCCATTTTCTAGATAGACTCTTCCTTTCATGCAGTGCTTGTAATATATACTGGAGAGTGGTGAGACAGCTAATATTCTAAGACCACAGCATGCCATCATGGCCAGTACTGTCTTCTTAGATATGATGGTAGTACATCAAAAACAACAGTGATAACTTTAATCTAGTCAGCTTGTGTGTCAGGAAAAGGAAATCTTAGCACTGAAAAAGTGCACCCAGAACCATAGAAGCCAGTTAGGTGTCTAGGCAGTGCTGAACTCTATGTAACTGCAAATCCTAAATATTGGTACCTAAGCTAGATAGATTAACAGCAACTTTAATCACATCTGCACATGCTGTTATCACAGCTTTTGCACAGTGCACACCAGTTTTTCTATGTACCTGTACCCTCACTCCCATCTGCCTATTGCAGTCAGCTCTTGTTGCCTAACCTCTGCTGACAGTAAAATGCCATAGTTTTACTGTCAGCAGCACTGTGATTTCTCTGAGGCTGAGACAGTCTCTTTATGAAGTGAATGCAGGCTGTCCCTGTAGTGATATGTGTTTTATGACTAAGGACCCAGTTATTACAGTCCAAAGCTTCTAGGATATATTTCTTACTGTACTGGATTCTGAACTGATGTTCTTCAGTCTCTTTTCATCTCATTCATAGTCCAGTTCCCATGCCATTGATCATGCGTCAGCCACAGATAGGAACTCATTTCTAGGTGGCAATGTCATGAATGCTCTTGTGGAAAATTCATGAAGACTATTTTATATGCATTTTACCTATTCCTTTACTCCTCGCAACTAGTGACACATAGATGTGACATGAGTTTTGCTTTCAGAAATTTGGGGTGCAGTTCCCCCCGAGCCCCTTCACCAATCTTCTTGAAATTTGTCAGACTTCATGCTCAGTTGAGGCTACCACTTCTGCAAGTTTCATCCAAATCAGACAGAAAACAACACAGTTATAGATATTTCATTGATTCCCCATTATACCCTATGGCCGGATATTCGAGGCGACTCCGAAGATTTTCCGAAGTGGTTTGGAAGCTCCGAACCACTTCAGAAAGCCTAACAAAGCCAGCATTTCGATCTGGACATGCTGCTTTGGACACTGAAGCATCCAAAGCTTCTCCGGATCCAAAGCACGGTCCAAAACCTCACACAGATCTAATACACAATACTCTGCTGCTGAGTAGGATAGGGTGAGACCTGGGGTTCAGAGTGTTGTGGCTGCAGCTCCCCATGTTGATCCAGCATTAATCCAGAAAACTTGGCTAGCAAGTTGTTTTGGGCTTTGACCTTTGATGCTGTTTTCTTTAGATGTTCCTGGGAAATCAGGGTTCTGTCTAAAGACACACCCAAGTATGTTGGGCAGGGATCATGCTTTAGTCTCTGACCACCCATATAGATGTTACGTTATTTCTTTGGCACTGGCATTGTGGAAATGAAATACACTTGGTAGAGTTTTAGCAAGACTCGGTATGGACCACCATGTGGTGCAGTAGTCTGCCAGTTTTGTCATATCTTCATACAGGGCCTGGTACAAAGTGCAGAAAGATGGAACTAGAGTGGCACAGCAAATGTCATCAGCATAGATGAACTTACAGGATGTGGTTGTTGGTAGATCATTAATGTATACATTGAGCAGGGTTCGGGCCAGTACCGAGCCCTGTGGAACTTCATTGGCCTGTCTTCTCCTTGCACTTATCCCCTTCCCAACATGGACTCTGAATCATCTGTTATGGAGGAGTTTGTTGATGACTATAATGACCCAGCTTGAAAGTACCCTTGACAGCTTTAGAAGCAAGCCAGTCTACCATACTGTATTGTAGGCAGTTGTAAGTTCCAGTAGCACTATGCCTGGTGAACTCTCTTACTGATTAAAATGCCTCCTTATTTTCACATGTGCATTGTCCTTAAAGAGCAAGTCACATGACATCATGACAGTTTTATACAGGAGAAGTCAATAGTTTTGTTTAATTATCATGGTCTGAAAGAAAATGAAATGAGGGACATCTTGATGCAGAAAATGAATAGTGAGTAAGAGGTACTATAACATGTAAAGTCACAGTAATATTCCAGGCATGGTGTACAATTTATTGCATGAAAGACTTCCCAGTGCAAGACGTCTCCCATTCATTATGTTATTTTCCTTTTGCAAAGCCATTTCCTGATCTTTCCATGTGTACAAACTTGTCATAGGAGAAGTGGTGCTGAATCACTCTATCTGAAGAATATCCATGAAACCAAGAGAGCAGGGAGAACAGTTTAAGCTGAACCTTCTGTCTGAAGAGCTGGAAAGTCAACATTACTCAACGGCTCTGGAAGAAGTTCCAAGAGGTAACTGAACTGAAGAAGCAACAGCTATTTTGCAATTTTCCTCTTTGTTGTACTGCCTGAGTTCATGCTCTAAACTTATAATGGGAAGAAACTGCAACCAGGAGACTGAATTCCTTTTCACGGGACTCACAGATTACCGAATGTCTCAGATACCTCTCTTTCTACTCTTCCTCACAATTTATCTTATCACTGTGGTAGGGAATCTTGGCATGATTTTTATAATCCGAGCTGACTCTCGACTTCACACCCCCATGTATATTTTCCTTGCCAATTTGGCTTTTGTTGATCTCTGCTATTCCACAGTCATCACTCCCAAGATGCTGTCTGATTTCTTAACTGAGAAAAAAATAATTACTTACATAGGATGCGGGGTTCAGGTTTTTCTTTTTTGCTTCTTTCTTGGAACGGAGTGTTTCCTCCTAGCTATAATGGCATATGACCGTTATGTGGCTATCTCTAGCCCACTGCTGTATTCGGTCATCATGTCCCCAAAACTCTGTGTACGGCTGGTTATTGGTTCCTTCTTAATTGGGTGTGTAAATGGAATGACACAAGCTGTGAATATGTTAGATTTATCTTTCTGTGGCTCCAAGGTCATTGACCATTTCTTCTGTGATATCTCCCCGCTGATATCTGTCTCTGAGTCTGATTCCACAATCAATCAAATTATTCTCCTTGCTTCAGCTGCTCTATTAGGATTGTCCAGCGGTGTCATTGTTCTTAATTCATACATTATCATCCTCTCCACCATCCTGAGGATCCGCTCCACTGAGGGCAAACGCAAAGCCTTCAACACCTGCACCTCCCACCTTACAGCTGTTTGCTTCTTCTATGGAACTGGACTCTTCGTATATTTAAAACCCAGCTCCCAGGACTCAAAGCCAAAGGACAAATGGGCCCCAGTCTTCTACTCAGTGCTGACCTCCATGCTGAATCCCCTCATCTACAGCTTGAGGAACAAAGAAGTGAAGGATGCCCTGAGAAGAGTGATATCAAATAATATACACTTGAATGTTGTAAATTAATAATCATATGGCAATAAGGCATAATACACAAATACCTGCCCAAGCACTGATTCTCATTCTGTTCTGAGTCTGCTTGCTATATAAATTGCATTGAAAATTCCCCATTCTAACTGTTTGATTTCTTTTAAAGTTATACCCTAAACTGTCTCTAATAATGAAAAGGTTTGGGGAACCAAACACACCATTGTTTTACTAAAAAATAACACAGTTTTTCAATAAATTTGTTTATACTAATAAAGTATGATAAAATCAGAACAAATAGGTAATATTCCTTAATCTTTTGAGGATCTCTGGGTTTATCCATGCTGTTCTACCACCAGATTTAATCATATGCCCTAAATATATTTTGACTCTGGGTCTGTGAAAATTATGTATAAATTTAAACACGGAAATATGCTGCTTTATGCTTTGCAAACACACTTGTGCAAATCTCTAGATTCTTGAGAGTAGCTCAACTGCAGTACCCTATGTGCAGAAAACACTGTTATTCTGAGGATGAGAATCTCACCCTGATTCTCTGTTCCCATCATGGTGGTGATGGTCAGGAGGGTGGGGCAGGGAGGAAAAACCTTGTACTTCTTAGCCTACCCACTGCACTTTTTCCCCCCTTTTCTAGTGAGGTCAGCCTTATTGTGTGGATGCAAAACTGTTCCTTCACACACCACACACCCTTGTGCCCATTCCCTGATCTCCACCATAGAATTGCTGTCATTGTTCTTTAAGGAAATGGGACTAGTGACTTTCCAGCTCCATCTTCATCAGGGGTTCCATTCTGCGTTCCATTGGACTTCAAGAAATTCCATTTAAGGTGAGATTCATATCAGTTCACTAAGCAGCTGAAATAGGAGTGAGATTGGATTTCTGGGAAGCAAGTCTTTTTTGTGCTATTTTTTATTGGACCAACTATATAGTTGGAAGAGCAGTTGGACAAGTGTTCAGGCATCAGAGGTGCCTGTACACATGCATGGAGGCTACTCGGATGCACACCAGCAGCCTTCCATGTTTTGTGTGTCAGCATCCCCATGCTTCAAAGTGACAGCAGAGACACTTGAACTAAAGTTCATAGAATGAGTTTTAGTTTAAGTAGCCCCACCACCATTTTGAAGCATGGGGATGCTGATACACTAAACGCTAGTGGCTTTTGGACCTGCTCTAATTAAAACACCACCTCTCCCACCTTCGAAGCACATGTAAAAGTGACCCAAGTGCCCTTCTACAGGTTACCTAAATCCCCAGAAAAGCCTGACCTATTATGTATCTTCCATGAATGCCACACTCACATGAGCTGCTTTGAGCCCCATGTGAGTTCCCATAGACTAGGGGTTTTCCACCTTTTCTAGTAAGTGTACCCCTGGTAGCTGGACACGGAGCTGGGGGACAGTGGCGTGCGGCCAGACCCAGAGCCAGGAGTAAACTTACTGAAAAAGGAGCAGACCAGCAGCAGCATAGGGTGCTGAGATGTGGCAGTGGCTGCCACATGTGAACTCTGCCCCACTCTCCACCCCCCGTGTATGGCCAGCTGGGAAGCACCGCAGAAGGGCACCACTCCCCTCACCCCCCCCCCAACCCTGATCCTGGGAGGCAGCGGGGCTCCATTGCTGCCCACCCATATGTACCCCCTGGGCCCTCCCAAGTGCCACTGAGGGTAAACATACCCCCAGTTGACAACCCCTGCCATAGACCCAGATCTCAGGACAGTCCAGCTAGAGTGACCAGTCCCCATTTTCAGAGCATCCTCTCTTTTGTTTTTGCATGGATGACTGCAACTCTCCCACGCCTCTGTTGTTTCTAAACCCCCGGTGCATCCTGAAGTAGATGCCAATATGCTCTTCAGCCTTGTACATCAACACACCAGATCATTTGTGCAGAGGCTATCATCAGTCTGCTCAAAATATGCTGGTGGTACCAAGTGAATGTACCCGTAAGATGTGGCATTCTTTTATCCAAAGGGCTGGATGTAGAAAAAATGTTGAAAATTCCTGGGTGGAAAATATTGTCCCATCCTGAAAAGATGACAATGCTCATATAGTTCTTGGATTGAACTGAGCTTCCTCATTTCCCTTTTGAAGGCCATTTTTATTATTTCCATCTAGCACTTTAGTCTTTTTTTTACTCAGCCTTCACTCAGCCAGGAAAGGAGTTCACTTTGAATACTTGTAGAGCCTACACATCATCTTTCTTTCAGTCCTTCCTGAGACCCCAGTATGTCAAGCTGAGCAATCTTTTTGAGTCTCCCCCATCATGATAATTGGAGGTGTGACTACTGCACATGTAAAAACCACAGAGATAACTTTAAATGAGCTAGCCTGAAGAACCACAGCAGGGAAGTCACAGGAATGCTAGCTGCAACCTAGATTGTTCAGGGTCACTGGGGATAGCTATCATTTCCTTGGGCAGTGAGATAGTGGTAAATAAAGGCCTTTCAGCAAGTAGTAACCCTTGAAAAGGGAAAACAGAGGATGATACCTTTTCTTATCATGTACTTTACACAATGAAACAGGCCACAAAGGATTGACTTTAGGTCAATCCTTTGCCATCTCTGCTCTCTTCCTGCTTTATCTGGTTAACTAACTGATTTGATTTTTAAATGATGTTTTACTAACACTTCTACACTTGAATGCCCTGAAATATTAAGACAAACAGATACGATGGGATACCTGGGTCCTTCGGTACTTATTTGAGCATCTAGTACCCATGGAAGTCCATGCTGTGATGGCTCCACTGCTATCAGTACCCAGGTTTGGTCTATTAAGATTGGCCTGAAGGCATCAGCGCATGCTGTTATCACAAATTTCGCTATAATATTAATGGGCTGTTTGTGTCTCTGTTTGCCCCACTGGAGTTGCCTGTTGCAGACACTTCCTGTTGCTTGTCCTGCCCTTTAATTGTAATCTCTACAATGTTATGTTTCTGTTATGTATAGGTATGGTGTACAGAACAGTGGGCCATGGAGAAAGCAGGAATATGTAATTTTATACTTTTTGTGGTTCATGCAGTCAAAAGTTTAAAAAAACCTAAAAAAAACCCCAACAACTGGCCCAGGAAGAATAACATTTGCATTGTGTGACTCTTCTTGACACACAATGACTCCTGAAATGGAGTTCACCAGAAACCTTGGCTACTGGATTTAAGATGAGGAAGAGAAAAAGCTGATTCTTGGACATGTCTTTGACCCATGGCTTGGTGTTCCTTTAGAAGCTAATTCTTACTTGAAAAAATGGATGGAGGTTAGCACAGAGGGGAAACTTCTTCCCCTACTGGGACCAAGGCCAACTTAACAATCCATGTCCCCTTCTTTTTCCTGCCAAGAGTCACCACACTGATCCACACACCTCTGACTTGCTTCTTTTCTCCTGGCCCCACATGCCTCTCTCTTGTAGATATTCAGGGATCCTATGATAGGAAAGTGGGAGGCTCTTGTCACTTTAAGAAGTGAGTATGCTGCAGTTAGGACTCAGGGAACTGGAATAGAGGCTAGCTGTGAGAGGGCAGGCAGCCAGCAATCCCTGCTGCTGAGGCAGGGAGCTGCACTAAAAAAAGGGGAACGCCTGTATCCAGTCTAGAGAATAGTGCATAGAATAGACTGGCTGTAAGAGAGGTGGCAACCAGGAAACCAGCTGGCTATTATAGGACTGGCTGCTAGCAAACCTGCAAATGGCTAGAGAAAGCTGAGAAAGCAGGCAGGTCATGACCCATCAGCCACAGGGAGGAAACACCTGTGGGGATCTTCAGGGTCACATGACCAGATGGGACAGGGCTTAGGAGGTACATAAAGCCAGTACATGAGAGCAGGCCGGGCAGTCTAGCCCTGCAAGCTGCAGGGGAAGAAGTTCTTAGAAGGAAGGCTGGTTGACTGCTGAACTGGTTTGAAGCTACCAGTAAGGCTTTGAGGATTTTCAGGGGATGAATGTAGCCCAGAGTAGAGGAAACTTTGTGCATACAGCTAGCAAGCTGGTATATGTTCAGACCTGGTGTGGGGAATCTGAGTTACAGCTAGGGCCTTACATTTTGTTGTACTCTTTAAACTGGTGGTTTAGGTTTTGGAATATCAGGAAGGTGGAGGTACCAGTCATGCCTGAAGAGCACACAACTGCCTTGCATCTGGCCAGCAGTGGGAATCAAAATTGTGAGAGTAGCAGAGGAGAGACAAGGCCAGGGGCCCAGTGCCTGAGCAGAATGAGAGCCAGGGTTGGGGACCTGTAGCAGAGGCAAGATCAGTGCAGAAGGGCAGAGAAATGAGGGGAAAGGGCCCAGTAGCCCAGAGGGGTGAAATATTGGGGCTGCGGCCCAGAACAAAAGACACGAGGGCCAGAGGTCCGGAGGTACTGAGGACGGATAGGGCTGATGCCAGGAGAGCCAGACCCAAATCAGTGGGCCAGAGCTCAAGGCTTGCAGGCAGCAGGGTTAAAATTATGGGGGAGCTCAGGGGGCGATGAGCCCCCACATAAGAAATAAGAGCCCCTCTGTAAGATTTTGAAAATCATAATTGGGAAGGGTGGGGAAAAGGGTCTCCAATTTTATTACGGCATTGCAATAGACAGCCTCTTCTTGAACACTTCCAGGGATGGCAACTGCACCACCTCTGCTGGAGTGCGTTCCAGATTCTAGGTAGCCTTACAGAAAAGAAGTTTTTCCTTATGTTCAGCCTAAATTTTCTCTCAATTACCTTGTGCCTTTCTGAAGACTTGCTCCCCTAGATCTTGGTGTTCACCCCTGACATACTTGTAGGTGGCTATCAAGTCACCTCTCAGTCTTCTCTTACTCAGACTGAACAAACACTGTTCCCGGAGCCTTTCCTCATAGGGCCCCTCATCATATGGGTGGCCCTTCTCTGTACCCTTTTGAGCTTATCCACATCGTTTTTGAAGTACGGTGCCCAGAACTGGACACAGTACTCCAGCAGGTAAAGAAGGACCAGGGCAGGCTATGTCCTGCTACAGAAGGAAGCAAAAACCCCCACAAGTCAGTGCTAATCTGATCACAGGGTAAAATTCCCTCCTCACCCCAGAGAAGGCAATCTGTCTGACTTGAGTGGATAGATAAGACCTTTAGCCAGGAATCTCCAACTTTAAGTCCCAGCAGGAGCACTGGCACATCCCAGTCAAAATCCCCAGGCTGGGCTGTAGCCAACAACCCATGCCCCAGAGTAAAGCTAAAAGAGACCCTGACACATGTAGCAGCGGTAAGGGAAAAAATTACCTCTCAGCTCCATGCAGCAAGCAGCAATGCCCAGAATCATGGGAATGTCCATAGGGATGATATAGCAGCACTGAGCTGAGTAGCACAGTTACAGTCACTCCAGTAGAGCCACCAGGTACACATGTATTTGAGGCTCTCGGAAACTGCTCAGGGCCAGGAATCTGGGTTAAATTAATCTTCCTGGAACTGGTATCAGTATGCCTCTTCCATGAGCCCCACGCAATCGAAAATGGGGGCTTCGAGGGTGTCATAAGTGACCTAAACTCCCAGGGCCCAATAGGCTGCCTGAGCTTCCCCAATTAAGTATGGGGCTAACTTAAGGCCTACTGATCTGCAGACCATTGGTATATCCTAGCCACATGTTCCAAAGTCTCTAGAAAAGCCTCGGGCTCAACATCAGGTCCCATCTCTGTGATGGTTATGCCCCAGTCTGGACAGAGGTTCAGTCCTGCAGCCCACATGCAGCAGGACTGACGGATACTTCATGCTTTGAGTGTCACAGCATGTATTGTACTCATGAGGCCTTTCAATGGAGACAGCGGTGATGCTGGTTCCCTCTGCTCTACTGTTTTGGTTTTTTTTTATAATAGACAAATATTTGGAGCTCTGACCCAGGAAGTGGAAGTCCTGGGCCTCAGGCCAACTTCAGTCTATAGATATTCAAACCTAGATGATCATCTTCCTAGGACAGTGTGCCAATCAACAAGGTATACATTAACCTCAGTTCAGAGGGAGGTTGCAGTCTGGAAGTGAGCACAGCTACTCTGGTAGCAGGGGAGGTGGGTTTGATTCCTTTTCTGTTGATGAGGGTCCAAAATCTCACCCTTATGCTTCCAGTGTGCCTGATCTAACCACTAAGTGAATGGGCATGAAAGACTGCACAGCCCCTGCCCCCCACCTTGAGCTGCATTTTTGAGTGACCACAGCTTTTGAGGGTGCCACAGAGTACTGCAAAGTATTAACATTGCTAGATGTGCAAACATCTATACATGATTCATCCCTCAGAAGTCTGGGGAGGCTAGTACATGCAGGCCTGCAGTTCTGACTGAACTGTGTCCCGGCTTTAGGGCTATTATTGCTGCCAAGTCCAGTTGTGTGGCCTAGGCTACGGCCAGAACTCAATCAGCCCTGGGATGAGAAATATGGTAGGGACTGGCTTCGAGCTTTCCATGGGGTGCTGGACCAACCCCCACTACCCAGGCCTCCTTCAAAAGTTCTACCTTATGCCCTAGCACTATTCTTGGACATGATGGAGGCACCAAACACACAGTCTGAGTGTGGCACTGAAGCTCCAGGGAGGGGAAAGTACTCCTTTTACTCTGTATTTCCAATGGTACCCTCTGGGTCACTTCTAGTTTAGCACCTTGTAACTATGGAGCGCCTCACTCTTTCTGTTGACTATACGGGGACCCCAGGTGTCTACCCTGTCAATCTGGTCCACCCTCCTGGAACAAAACAGATTCTTCTAGGAGGACAGAGGCCTAAGTGGCAGTGCCTATGGGGATTATCTCATTCTAGAAATGAAAAAAAAAAGAGCCCTGTCTTGTCCGACTAGAAACAATGTCACACCCTGCATGGGTTAAGTTGTGGCTGGTAGAAACTTTTCTTCCTTATTCTCTGCAAGCTGTGATGGGATAAATCCACAGAAGTTGCCATGGGACAATTTGGATTTCTCACAGCTCTACACAGGTCCACAGGACAAGATGAAACCTCAGCCAGTCAGGGCACCAGACATGGCCCTGCACACTAGTGCAGAGTTGAACTCAAATGATATGTTTTATGTTTCCTCTTAGATTTTCTTGTTTCTGGGGACTACAGCAGATCAAAACAGATTGACAGGCTCAAAGACTTATGACTATCAGGTCATTGTAGATTCTGATGCCAAGTGATAAAATTGTCTTGACTTATTTTGTGTGACAAGAAAGTGATTCAGAGAGGGGGACAGCAGGACAGCCTGCACCAAGCACAGAAATGTTGTGTCTATGTGTCAAGAGAGAACCTGGTGCAATGTGAATGCCAGATGTGGTCTTTTAGACAAGTGCACAGGAATCAAGCTCAGATATGCATCAAATCTTTCCCTTTCAAGCCCCCTCCACAATCCCATCAACTGGATTACAATGAATGGGGAGCTCACACACATTGGCAGCTAAAGATCACAAGATATGGCCCTGCCTTCTTTCCTTTAAAGGGACAAAGCCAGAGCAAGATGGAGCAGGGAGAGACAGGAACACTCAGAAAAAGCTGTGAGGCTAAAAGCAGCAGTGAGCCAGAGAACCCTCTCATGGTCTGGGAAAAGGCCCCACCAGACAAAGCGAGGAAATAAGCATGTGGTAACCACTTATGTATTGTCTGTGCACTTGTGTTTTATGCTTTAGGGGAGAGTGTGCCCAGAAAATAAAGACCTGTGCTGAGCTTGCAAAGCCTGTTTGAGCTGAGGAATCCCCAACCTGCTATAAGGGACAAGGGGCTGAATGCATCTTAGAGAAGTCCATTTCCTCAACAGGTCTGCAGCCAGAAGTACACATGAATACCACATGCATGAAATTCCAGAGCAAATTCCACACTTGGAGACAGAACATTAAAAACAATTTGGTTTTGTTACTGAACCTGCCACAATTCATCTGGTAAGATATCCTCACCAAGAAACTATGAATCTGACAAGGTCAATTTGTAGATCAGAACTGGGACTTCATTTAACTAGACCTTTTCTTTTTTTCTCCAAAGTTTAGGATGAATTAATCTACCACAACTGGTCCTATGGTATAAACATGTTATGAATTCTGGGATCAATGATGATGTACCCCTTCAGATAAATAGTCAAACACATGGGTCCAGTAGAAGTAGAATTGAGTCTTCTGTGTAAAGCTAATTTACTGTACACAGGGCATGAGGCTATGTAAATATGTTTTTTGTGCACATACTTTTTGTGCACTTATACTCTTGAGACTTGAGGTGCTCCCAGAGTCCCACTTTGCCAGTACTGAAACCTCAGGAAAATTTCCAGGGCCCCAGAAGGCAACTCGAAGGAAATAAGCCAAAAAGGAGAGAGAGGCAGCTTGTGACTTGCTCCCATTGTGACTCTCAGGCCTGGAACTGCTCTGTATCTACTCATCTCAGAATGAATGAAAGGGAAAAACACAGAGATGACTCTAAAACATGGTCAGTTTTAAAGATTGTTTTCCTAATATCCAGAAATTGTCATGGGTGATTCAGAGGGATGGGGAAGGGGACAGGTAACCTGAGAAAGAGGTCACATAACCCTCAAATGCCATATTTTCTTCTATACCACATAACCTCTCCCTCCTTCCCAGTAAGACATGCACATTTTTGAGGGTGAAACAGATATAAGAAAAAGACTGTTTTCCAGAATTTTGCCTGCATACAGCAGGTACCGAGCCTAGTCTTCAGCTCCCCGTTCCTGATTATCCAAAAGATAAAAGCCTAGCTGTTGCTGAGGACTAGTCTTATTGATGAGGCTATGATATTGAAAATATCTAAACACCATCTCCATTTGAAAGAGGAGAAAGAAAGACCAGGAGCAGTTAAAAGACAGCAAAAGCTCAGCTTGATTATTGGAACATCAAGACCATTAAAAGGAGAGATAATTGTTGATACCTGCGGAGTGAAGAACAATGAGACATTAATTGACTCCTGCAGCTGCCTGAATAGAAATGCCACTGCTGCAGCCAGCGGGGGTATGGATCAAAGCAGAGTGCTTGTATTTCAGGCAGAAAATCATCTGCCCTGTTTAAGACACCCATCCCAAGTTTGCAGGGCTGACTTCTGAGGAAAAGATCTGTGTGCCATGTAAATAAATACAGCATTTATTTATCCAGATTAGAAAACAAATTTATTGCAAAAAAGGGAGAGCTGCTTAAGAAGTCTGTTTTCATCCTGGCAAAACATTGCATCCCCTACAATTCATTGGGTTGAGCTGAGCTGAAAAGCTTCCAAATTAATGAGTTTCACTGGCTGCTCTTTGGAGGCTATTTCTTATGTCTTTTATATTCTTCAAGGCAGGTGCCCTCAACCGAAGAACAGATCTTCTTGAAGACCAAAAAATACCGTGTTTCCCTCTCCTTCTCCTTCCCCTTCTCCTTCTCCTTTCAGTTCCACATTTAGACATCCCTTTGCCTGCAGTTCTTATCACAAGCTGGACCACAGCTTCGGTATCTGAATACTTTGAGTAGGTTGAGAGAAAGTAAGATGCTGATGTTGCATGTCAAAACCAAATCATGGCTGAGTTCCACATAGGCAACATTGTCTCACACAAGGGAGTACCTAGTATACGGTTTCTTTTCTGCAATGTTTTTTTCTTCCTTTGGCAAAGTATTTACTCTCTATCTGAATCACTCTCTATCTGAATTCCTTCTCCCTAGGACTGTCCTACTTCTCTGCAGCTGGACAAGGGCAGTGGCAAAACTAACCAACCAAATCTGTGTCTTCTCTATGAAGAACCTGAAACTCTACAAAATAATAGCTCTACTAAACAATTGCAGAAGCTGATTAGAGTAAATTTACTGATTACAGTAAATTGATGCTCTTTTAACCTGCATTCTGCACGACCTGTATAGACATGGTTGGAGAAAACTGTACCCAGGTGACTGAATTCCTCTTCACAGGATTCAGAGAACATCTATGGTTTCAGGTCACCCTCTTTGTGCTGTTCCTCACGATTTACTTCATCACTGTGGTGGGGAACCTTGGTATGATCTTTTTAATCAGGTCTAGCCCTCGTCTTCATACCCCCATGTATTATTTCCTTGGTAATTTGGCTTTTGTAGACTTTTGCTTTTCAACAGTTGTCACCCCAAAGATGCTGGCTGATATGTTTGTGGAGAGGAAAGCCATTTCTTATAATGGATGCGTGGCTCAGGTCTTCATTTTGTGTTTCTTTGGGGTTACAGAATGTTTCCTCCTGGCTACAATGGCGTATGACCGTTATGTGGCCATCTGTAGACCTCTGGTGTATTCCATCATCCTGTCCCCAAGACTCTGTGTCCAACTGGTGGTTGGGTCATACTTCGCTGGGTGGATTAATGCAATGTCACAAACAGTAGACTTGTTACAATTATCCTTCTGTGGCTCCCATGTCATTGACCTGTTCTTCTGTGACATCTCCCCACTGTTATCACTCTCCACATCTGATGCCAGCATAAGTCAGATGGTACTATTAACTACAGCTGCTATTTTGGGGGCATTCACCATCCTGGTTGTCCTTATCTCCTACACATTCATTGTTGCTACCATCCTGAAGATCCACTCCACTGAGGGTAAACACAAAGCCTTCAGCACGTGTGCCTCCCACCTGACAGTTGTTAGCATCTTCTATGGAACCTCTCTCTTTATGTATTTAAAGTCCAGCTCAGATGATTCACAGCATGAGGACAAATGGACCACAGTATTTTATACAGTGGTGACGCCTATGCTAAATCCTCTGATCTACAGCCTGAGGAACAAGGATGTGAAAGATGCCATGAGGAAAGTGATAGCATGGAAAAAAATCTCAAATATTTTAAATAAATGAGCAGGTGGAAATAAGCACTTAGATATGAATACCTGGCTTACATGTCAACTCTTGTGTCATAAGAGCTTTAGTATAGGAATTGCTTTGGAAGTTTTGAAAGTTTTCTAATCCCTCATAAGGAAATATTTGAGGAAACTAAACACATCAGTTATTTTATTAAAAATCCATAGTTTTTTCGTAGAAATCCACATTTTTGCAGAAAAACTCTTTTAAATTAATTAACTCATGAGAAGGTATCTATGTGTATGTGTTATTCATTAGTCTCTTTTGGTTTTCTTAGCTTAATGCTGCCATTCTCGCACCATTTTTAACCGCTGCCTACAAAAACACCTTAAATCAGGATCTGTGGGTGCTGGTAATCACACCAGTAAATCGATATAAAAGCACTTATGTACAGAACTGCCCTTCTGTGAGTAACCCAATGGACTCTATCGCCAGAGGCAATCAACGCTGAATCTTAGAATGAAAAATTATCTGGGGCCCTCGCCTTTTTTTCAATGTGGAGGCTGACATCCATGATTTGGGCAGCGTCCCTCTGAAATGAGCCTGAGGCCCATACAGCAAGGGAAAGGAGTTCAGGCTCTGTGTTTCTGACTGGTTCACTCTGAACTCAGTACCATGGCACGCTGGATCACCTCCTTTGTCTCATTGACTGTATTAGGACCTTGGGTGTCTAACTTCACCAATATGGATCACTCTCCCAAAATAAAATACTGATTTTTGTGGGGAGAAATGTAAGCGATAGTGCCTACTGAGTTGCTCTAGCTCTGGAAATACATCAACAAGCCTTCTCTTGCTTCAGTGAAAACCCCAGATGAACCTGCATAACTTGACAGTGCAGCTGAGGGGGCAGCTATCCTTCCTGCCTGTGGGCTGTTATAGGATGAGTCTATATAAGGCTCCATTGGGTAATTTCTGCCTTGTCATTGACTTACACAGGCCCATGGAGCAAAACAAAATATCACAATTTGGGAGCTCCAGACATCATTTCCTCCATGGTGATATGTGAATTAAACTGAAACACATTTTTTCTTTTAGGTTTTATTTTCTTTCCAATGATGCCATGTCAAATGGAGCGTGGGGGCGGAAACTGAGTAACAGATTTTTATAGACGAAAAGACCCTCTCATATTTTTAGCTCAGTAGCCTAAAGATCAGGGACTTCACCCAGAGAATGGGAAAAACCAAGTTCTAGACCCATTCATGCAGAGAGAGATTCACCCTGTATCTCCCATTTCCCAGCAAAGTGTTCTAATCATCACACTACAAGGTTAGGCAAGCAGCCAGCGTGGGAAGGTACCAGAAGCCAGATTCCCTCCATTCAACAGCACTGAGCAACACAACCTCTTGCTTATATTCTGTGATGAAAGAGGCTGAGTGGACTAAGTTCTAGCCTGCATGTCTAGTGGGGAAGACTTTGAGAGGGAGTGGGGTGCGTTCAGTGTGAGAGTGCATTGCTGTTAGTAGTTTCATTAATAGGATATTTAAATGCCTTTTTCTTCTCAAGGGAAGGTAGCAATCTAGGCTTTGCAGCTGATCTTAGAGACTGCTCTCTGATTGGTGCGCCATAAAATTATGTTTCATTCAATTTGGCGAATTTTAGTTCTCATGCTGACTGCTATAATTGTATAATAATTTTGTTCTGAAAGTGACTGTATGCCAGAAGAGGAGAATAGAGGATTGGAGAGAGTTGAGGAGAGAAAGCAGGAGTCCAAGGGAGGATGGGGGAATGGAGTAGCACAAAAATGCCTGTTGGCTTGCAGTGAAACTGCCTTGGGATGTCAGCCCTCTGCCTCCCCACCCTGCCCCTTACAACAGGTAAACCCTGCTTCCTGGGAGCTAAGCAAAGAAGAAACTGCAGTGAGGGTGTTATAACTAGCTGGGGAAGCCAGGAACAAGAACGAACCAGGGTCTCAAAGCCAGAAATTTGCTTCTCAAGAGACCATGGTAGGGCTGGCTTTGGGGGGTGGTCCTTTAAAGAGGGATATCTAACAAGGCTTCTTTGTGGAGTGTGAGGAGGCAATTTCCCTGAAAGAGGACACTGCTTTTCTCAAAAAGTCACACTTATGCAGTAGGGCTGTGCAAAGCTTTGGTAGACAATTTGATTTGGAGAAGATTCAGCCTGATTCAGCGGCTGAACCTCCAAATCTGTATCAAGTCGTGAGACCAATTAAAAGCTCTGAATCAAATCAGAAGCCTCCAAATCAATTCAGAAAAGATTTGGTCTGATACAGAGATGCAGCAATAGACTAAACGGGCAGCAGTCCTTGAGGACACTGGACACAGCTGCCTCCAGCTAGTAAGTCTGTAGTGGTGGGTGAAGGGGAGAGGGAAGGGGCATTGGGGGGGGGGGGCAGATCAACGCCCCCCCGCAGTGAGGGAGGGATTGGGGCTGGGACAAGCTGCCCAGCTGAGGCAACGCAGTGTGGGCAGAGATGTCCCTAAGGATGTGCGGGGCCGGGCAGGGGGGGAGGCCAGAGCTGGTGGAGCAGGGAGTGGGGTGGCAAGTGGTGGGAGGCCATAGCCCCCACTCCTAGCACCTTCCACCACCTATACAGAGTGCAGCCCGACCCAGCCACTCACCACCACGAGACCCCCTCCCTCCACTCTGCTGACTCTGGCCACTCTGGCTACTGGCCATCCCCTAAGGATGGCTCTGCGTGTGCCCCCTCTGCCCCTCACTGTGGGGGCGTTGATCTGCCCCCCACTCCTCCTTCCCTTCCCCCTCCACCCACCGCAACAGATTTACCAGCTGGAGGCAGCCAGCTGTGTCCAGCGTGGTGAGGACTGCTGCCTGTTTAGTCTATGGCTGAATCTCCAAAGCAGTGCCAAATCTTTGGATCCGATTCGACCAAATCAAATTGCAACTGTAATTCAAATCTCTGAATCAAATCACTGTCCCTCCAAATCAGAAGAATCTGAAGCAAATACTTGCTGCTTCAGACAGGCCTATTATGCAGCTGTATAAGTGCCACATAAATATGTAAAAGCTAAATAGGAATGACCCCAATTCCCAAGCTAAAGTCCTAATGAAGAAGCAATATAGAATACAGACATAGGCAATATGGAAGTGTGCCACCCTGTACAGACCCAGGGGGCAAGGGACAGTTTTGTCTTTGTGGCACTCAGTGTCAGTATGGCTCTTGGTATGAGGTGGTGAGATGGCCCTGCCTCATTTCCTATGAAAGGAATATGTAAGTGGGCGGGGAGGAGGGAGTACATGACTGCCGGGCCCAAGCATTAAAAATTAATATCAATCCCAAGGTTTCCTCATCAGCATACACCAGATTCTGTTGTAAAGTCTGCCTCCCAAACCAAAAAAATCCTTTTCTTTTCCATTGTTTTTAATGTCAACAGGGTGTTTCCATGAGTCCAGAACCTGCCTTGTTAAGAAAAATGCTGATTGGCACAAGGCGCTTTCCAGAGTTATGAAGGAAGAGAACAGAATGGATTTAAGAAGAAAAATGTAACTAGAAGGACTCCCTATCTCCAGCAGGGCTAGAGTCAAAAGTTTACACATATACTGTGTTTCCATGGATATTGTGTATATGTGTGTGAGCAAAAATATGTATATGGCTGAGAGTGACACTTTGAGAAAAAAACAAAAAATACATGGATTGATTGAGGGTGAAACCTCAGAGAACCAGAGGAAAATAATTAGGATTGAGCCATTATGGAATAGAGTGCATGGAGGTCCAACAATAATGGATACTACTCCACTGGCCATCAAAAGCATATTGATCATGGGGTGATGGTATAGAGCTGGGAGCCCTGAATTTTAAGGGGTGTTCCATTAAGATAGTCAAAACAGACTGAGAATCCAAGAAGTGGAAGGATCCTCTTTGGTGGAGACAAAAAGAGAAGCTCTAAGGCCTCATGGAATAACAGAGACTTGGTTGGATAGCTCACATGACTACATCACTGTCATGGATGGGTACAAGCTGTTCAGAAAGGACAGGCAGGGGAAAAGAGGAGGAGGAATTGCTCTTTATGTAAAAGAACTGTATGATTGCTTAGAGCTCCAGAATGAAACTGGAGATAGGCCGTGTGGAAAGTTTCTGGGTTCAGATTAGAGGGGACAGCAACAAGGGTGACATGGTGGTAGGGCTCTGTTGTAGACCACCAAACCAAGAGGATGAGATGGATGTGACTTTCTTCAAACAGCTAGTGCTAGTTTCTCAATCACAGTCCTGATTCTCAGGTGGACTTCAATTACCTGACATCTGCTGGGAGGGCAACACAGCAGTGTGCAGACAATCCAGGGAGTTTTTTAAGAGTGTTGAGGACAACATCCTTGTACAAGTGCTGGAGCAGCCACCTAGGGGCCTCTTCTTGACCTGCTGCTCACAAACAGGGAAGAATTGGTGGGGAATGTAGTAGTGGATGGAAACTTGGGCAACAGTGACCACGAGATGATTGAGTTCAGGATCCTGAGGAAACGAAGGAAAGTGAGCAGAAGAGTAAGAGCCCTAAACTTCAGAAAAGCATACTGCAACTCACTCAGGGAACTGATGGTCAGGATCCCCTGGGAGGCCAGTCTGAAGGGGAAAGGAGTCCAGGACAGCTCACTGTATTTTAAAGAAACCTTAGTGAAGGCAGAGGAACAAACTATCCTGATGCACAGAAAGACTAGCAAATAATGCAGAAGACAAGTTTGGCTTAAGACGGAGCTCTTCAAGTGAGCTACGCCACAAAAAGTAAGCTTACAACAAGTGGAAACTTAGAAAAACAATGAGGGAGGAATAAGAGTAATGTTCAGGCATGCCAGGATGAAATCAGAAAGACCAAAGCACAACTGGAGTTGCAGCTAGAAAGGGATGTGAAAAGTAACAAAAAGGTTTCTACTAATATTTTAGGGAAAGTGTGGGTCCCTTACTGAATGGGGAAGGCAACCTAGTGATACACGATGCAGAAAAGGCTGAAGTACTAAATGCCTTTTTCACCTCAGCCGTCACACATGAGGCCAGCTCCCAGACTCCTGCATCTGGCAGCACAATTTGG